ACCACTCCCTCTCTGAGCTCTGCTGCAGCTTCCAGAGGTCTGGAACAGGCTGTTTCTACATCCTCCTGAGGAGCAATCAGACATTTGTGTCCCTGCTCTTCCTTCCTTTTGGCTGGAGCCCCTTGGAAGCATCTCCATAGTTACCTCTTCCTCAGCTGCCTGCGTGCCACCGTCTCCTGAGGAGATGGGAGAACCTCCCTCCATCCCTAAATCCCCATGGCAGAACCTCCCTCCTTCCCTAAATCCCCATGGGAGAACCTCCCTCCATCCCATAGGAGAACATCCCTCCATCCATAAATCCCCATGGGAGAACCTCCCTCCATCCCCCATGGGAGAACATCCCTCCATCTCTAAATCCCCATGGCAGAACCTCCCTCCATCCCTAAATCCCCATGGGAGAACCTCCCTCCATCCCCATGGGAGAACCTCTCTCCATCCCCATGGGAGAACCTCTCTCCATCCCTAAATCCCCATGGGAGAACCTCCCTCCATCCCCATGGGAGAACCTCTCTCCATCCCCTTCCTCTCCGGGCTCCTCGTGCCCGGCATCCCTCCCTGCTGCAGGAATTGCTCTCCTTGCTGCTCCCACTCGTGCCCCAGACGATGTGCCCGCTGTCCTGCCTCTCCCGTGTGTCCCCTCTGCTCTCCCACAGCCTGGCGTGCAGCTCTCAGCTCGCTATTGGAGTTTTATGTGGGAGCAGCTCTACAGAATTATCCTGTCCTGGTAGTCCTTGCCTAAATGTGTGTTTGGCTCTCTCCTGGAAGCTTGCAGCCTGCAGGATGGAATGAGAAGTCTGCCTCAATGTTTGCAGTACTTTGCTTGTTCTCAGGGAGCCAAAGGGCAGCAGATAATAAACGAAATGAATTGAACACCCTCGGAGGCTGCAGGCGTCAAAAGCACATTTACTGCGGCTTGAAACCAAGCACTGTGATTACCCAGGGCTGGATTTGCTGGCAGCTCCAGTGGAAGGCAGCACTGAGGCCATGCCAATCCCCTGGGATGATCAGCTCTTCCAGCAGCTCGGCTCATTTAGCAAATCTAACTATTACGTGATGAATGCACTTCAAGCAGGGCTGGGCTTTTCTTTTTTCCCACAGCATCGGAGCATTCCCGTTTTTCCTGCCGTTGTGGGTACCCCATTTTGGGAGAGGCTGCCCTTTGAACCTTTGCTTTCCCCCAAGCTGAGACCCAGAACAAACTCCCTGCTGAATTTTCACCCTCGGGGCTCTCCCGTGCCACCCCTGCCTGTCCCTGTCATTGTCCTGGGGACAAGGAGCTGTGCCTGGGGTCTGTGCTCAGCCCTTCTGCAGCTCCCAAACAATGAGCTGCTCTCCCTCCCCACTGCTGCTAAAGGAGCAGCATTTCAGGAGCTGTCAGCAGCTGCCTCTGCCTTTTCTTGCCGGGGTGGGCAAGTGGGAGGTGTTGTCCCCCACCCAGCACCAGCTCCTGTCTCCTGCTCCTCCGTGCTGCAAGCTGAGCACAGAGAGGGGCTCCTCCAGCATCATCTGAATTACAAAGTCGTTCTATTGTCAAGCCTTTTAAGTGTCACATTCTCTTTCAAATCCAAGGCTGTGACATTCACTGAAGAACAGCATCGTTTCAAAGTCAGGAGGGTCTATTCTTAGCGCATCAGTCAAAAAAAGGGGGGGAAAAAAAGTCGTTGGGGAAGGAAAAAAGCACAACAATTTTACCAGAATGAACCTTGTCACAAATGATCAATTCGTCTCCCATTCACACTGACCTGCTCCTTGCTGCATGCCAGAGGACAGAATCTGATGCCACAGCACAATGAATTAAGATTTGCCAGATCTCCTGGTAATTAATTGTCTCACAGTACAGGTTTGGCAAAGAATAATTTATCTTTAAAGCTATTAGATCACTGGTAGTTGGGTTTTGTGTTTTACTGGGTATTTTTCTTTTTAAGGAACATTTCTCAGTTAGTTGAAGAATAGATGCTGATGAGTAACAGCCACCTCCTGGGATTTTATTCACTTTACTTAAATACCTCTTCCTGCTAGACCAGAGCCCCCTCAGCAGTGGAGAGGCAAAGTTAGGACTGAGCACAGCCGAGCCAGAGGGGCTGGGCTGTGTCCTGGATTTTGGAGTGCAGCCCCTCAGCAAGCCCAGGGCTGGAGAGCCCAGCTTCTCTCACACCGTCCAGCCTGGGAATGTCAATCCAGGCAGCTCCCACAGCACTTCTGCCTTTGTTACTGTCACTGGGAAATCTCAGCCTGAGCTCACAGAAAAAATTAATAAGGTCTATAGCCTTGTCTTGAAATCCACCTGTGCATCATGAAAGTTATGATTCTTGAACTAAACAGAACTTTCAAAGCATTTATCCTGATGCATGCTCAGGAAAGTGCTCTTCCATTCAGAGAGAACAAGAATTCACTAAATTCCTGGTGGGGTCCTAAATTCTGCTCTAAGGAGCTTCTGCTGGTGGGTTCTTCCTCTTCAAGGACTGAGAGAGCAAAGAGATTTTCCCACCCTTCCTGAAAAAGCCATGCAAATGTCTTTGTAACTCTAATGAGCTGGGGGCAGAGTTTGAACTGTTTCTGAAGATGGGATTCAGTTCAGTGTGGGATGATGCTGGAATAAGTGTGGTACCAAGGCAGATCCTCAATGTCCCCCTGCACATCCTGACCAGCTCCAGAGGGACTGTCACTAACGTGCTTCTCTCTCTTTCCTGCTTTTTAGTATTCATGCAGTGCTGATCATGTGAAAATTACTCACACTTCTGACTTGAGAAAAGTTTCTTAACTGAGAAATTCCACCAATATCAAGGGAATTAGAAATTCAAATGGGGGGAAATTATACACTGCGTGTGTCAATACAGCAAACCTTTATAGAAGCTGCAATCAATCACATTGGCATCAAAGGTGGTGGGACTTTCCCCTGTCACCAAGCGGATCACAGGCCAAAGGAAAAGCGGAATTAGAGGAAGAAACCTTGGTTTGCTGCCTGTCCAGGAGCACAGAGCTGCAGCCAGCTCTGGCTGTGAGCCAGGGCTGTGCCCAAGTCTGGCCTGGCCTGTTGCTCTGTGCCTGGGCTGGGCTCTGGAGCAGCTTCTGTCTCTGTGTTGGTGCTGCTGCAGCAGGACAAGAGCTTTCTTTCACAGGCTGCACTTCTGAAATGGCTTATTGGGCATTGCCCCAATAAACCTCCCCCTGAGCATCCCTGTCCTTCCCTCTGACTCCTCACCTGTCCCTGGAAAAGGGAAATCCCAAATCCTCGTGCCGGCTGCAGCCTCACTTGCGACAGCTCACTCTGCCAGCACTGAACGTCACTGCAAGGCTGCACCGACCCACTCTGATCCCACTGCAGCTGCTGCAGAGCACAGCAGGGCACGGAGTGGGCTTTGCTGGGCCCTTTCACCTTCACCCTTCCTTTATCCCTGCTGTGCTGTGTGTGATCAAACCAACAACTCTCCCCCAAAGCTGCTGCCCTGTCTCACGTGTGCCGTGTCAGACCTCAGGCAGGGGTTTGCACGAGCCAGCAGAGATGTGCTGAGGCTGCAGCTGATTCCTGCACCGTTCTGGCTCTCTGCTACTCCCCTTTTGTGTTTTGACTGCCAAATGTTGTGGTTTTGTGGGTCTTGTATCTGAGCTCTCTGCTGTCAACTCCCTGAGATGCAAGAAGTAGGCACGGCCCAGATGCTTGCCTGGAGCAGAAATAACACATTTTTCTACTACTGTTCTCCATCAGGTCCCCTGAGTCTTGCATTTCTGGCAGACAGCATTCCACGGGGAGAAAAAGAACCTCAGGCCTTTGGTTTGCAGTTGTTGTAAAAACCTGATTCTGGCTGTGGTGTAATTTAGCAGATTGAAATAGAGATATAGTAAATCTGTTATACTCTCTTAGTGACTCAGTGAGCTTCCACTGGCAAAAACTGTTCAGAATTTGGAATATTCAGTAATCCCTTCACATTTCCAGGGGCTTTTGTGTGTTCCCAGTGTTCCTTGGAGGGGTGTGTGTGCTGATAAGTGCATGTTGCTGGATGGGTGTATTTGAAACTACAGAGAGACAACAAGGAGCGAAGCAGCCAGGAGGATAAACAGCTCCTGGGGATGATTTCAGGGTTTTTGTGCACACAGCCATCTATTTGCTTCAGACAAGTATGTGGGAAAGGTGAGTAATAACAGCCCTGCTGCTCCTGCTGCCCCTGATGCTGAAAATACCCCAGTGCAGTGTGCACTTTGATGGGGGCACATTCTATTTCCAAGGTAGGATGTGTAAATTATCCTGGCTGGACTTTGGGTCAGCCAGTGTTGAGATTTTGTGGAATCATACGAGTTTATTTTGCTTGTGCCAGAAATGTGGCCAGGTAAGTCATTATCTGGGTGTAATTATATGACATATAACAGGAGAATTTTGTACAAGAATCCATCCAGTTGCGTGTGAGGTTTCCACGTTAACCTGGTGTGAAATGGCTCAGAGTTGGATGCCACTGGAACATTAAAACACGTGTGGGGGGTTCTGCAACAGGAATTTGACCACAATGGTTTTTCAGACCACAAGTCCTGGAGAAAAGCCAAGCAGGAATCACTGTGTCATATTTAATTCTGTTTTGGGGTGTGTGTTTTGTTTTGGGGCACTGGCAGCTCAGTCCCTCATTCTGGGGCAGTGGGTGTCCATCAGCGTCTGTTGCAGGGTGTGAGTTTGGGCTCTTCCTCTGTGTGTTTGTGCTGGATTTGGGGCTGGGGGCTTTGTCTGTCCCTTCCCCAGGGTCTTGGGGGCGTTGGCAGGATTTGGCCTGGGTGTGGGACTGGTTTGGGGCTGGTTTGAGGGGATAATCTGAGCGGGGCCTGCACAGGCCGTGAGGGCGGGAGGCGCCCGCGGGGCCCATGGCGGCCCTTGGCCCAGGAGGGGACGGGCAGGGCTCACTCCCTCACACTCGCTCACACTCACTCCCTCACTCACCCTCACTCACTCTCACTCACACGCACTCTCTCTGTCACTCATTTCTCACCCACTCACACTCTCTCCCTCCCTCTCTCACCTTCTGGGCCCGGCGCTTGTCGGCGCGCTGGTTCTGGTGGTAGATGCGGCTGAAGTTGGAGACGATGACGGGCACGGGCAGGGCGATGACCAGCACCCCGCTCAGCGAGCAGATGGAGCCAAAGATCTTCCCCGCGATGGTCTTGGGCACCATGTCCCCGTAGCTGCGGGCACAAGCACAGAGGAGGCCCCTCCTTGAGACCCCGGGCCTCGGCAGGGCCTGCCCCGCTCCCCGGGGTGGCACCGGCGCTCCGAGCCCCGTGCCAGGGACAGCTCCACTGGTACGGCCACCCTGGGCTGGGCATGGCCACCCTGTCCCTGGTACGGCCACCTTGGGCTGGGCATGGCCTCCCTGCACATCCTGCTGTCACCCTGTCCCTGGTATGGCCACCCTGGGCTGGGCATGGCCACCCTGCTCGTCCTGCTGCCACCCTGGGCTGGGCACGGCCACCCTGCCCCTGGTATGGCCACTCTGGGCTGGACACGACCACCCTGATCATCCTGCTGCCACCCTGGGCTGGGCACGGCCTCCCTGCTCCTTCTGCTGCCACCCTGGGCTGGGCACGGCCTCCCTGCCCTGCCTGGCACCCAGCTCAGCACAGAAGGCACCTCTGTGGCAGAGCAGAGCTGCTCAGCAGCTGCTGGGGGTTGAAATGCACACCCTCGCTGCTCTGCGCCCACCTCTCCATGCAGATGAGCTCCAGCAAGCTTCCAGCTCTGCGTCTGCTGGGGAGCAGGTTCATATATTTTCATTCCCTGGTATCCAGGTGCAAATGAGGACTGATTTACACTTCCATTTCAAAGCCCAGCAGTTTCCCTGCCATCTGCACAGTCAGAAATTTGGGTTTGTTCAAAGTCTGCATTCAGTAAAAGGTGAATTCTCAGGGATATGAGACCAGATAAAAATATTCATACAAAGCTCTGCACTGGGTTGGACCCAACAATCTTCTGCTGTAATTTGTGTTGCATAAAGAGCATGTGGAGCGAGTGCAGAGGAGGCCATGGGGATGCTCTGAGGGCTGGAGCCCCTCTGCTCTGGAGAAAATCCAAAAACTGAAATCTAGACAAGCCCCTGGTTGCTATCAGATGGTATTAGGGATTTCTGTGGTTATCTTTGAGATGTTCTGGTGCTTGGTGCAGCAAATGTTGAAAAGAGAAATGATTTATTTCAATCGAGGCTTTATTTTTACATTTGATGTCAGTCTACGACCAACAAAGGGCTTTGAGGGGAGTAGAGTTGAGCTAAGAATAATTTACACCCAAGAAGGAAAAACAAACATTTCAAAACACTTTTTTCTCAGCTGAACCTCATGTCCCCACGCAAGAACTTGTTGGTGTGAGGGGCTGAATAAGAGCAGGACTCCTTGCATGCTAAATGCTTCAGGCACCATTAGCCAAGGCTTGTTTATCCCAAGCAGAATCTTCTCCTGCCTTCACCCACACCAAAACCCCTCAGAATACCCCAAATCAACAGATGGCTCTTCATGTCTATTAACTTTTTAGCTGCTGCTTTATGCAAAGATCATTTCAAAGCTCTTGCTAAGTGACAAGTTCTTCTACCTCATTTAACACTGCTCTAAAAAAAATCTCACTCTTCTCCTGCTGGCCCTTAACACAATAAGGCTGAAAATTAATCATATGGCTCAAACATGATCTCAGTGACCTGGAGCAGGCAGAAAAAGCCCTTCTGTGCATTTGCAAAGAGTATAATAATAAGTGTCTGGCTCTCAGTCTGTCTCAGGGAGTTTTGTTCTCACATGCAGACTGAGAGTTACCTCATTACTGGGGACTTGAGAGAAGTGCTTTAAAACACCACCAGGGAAGATCAAACCCTTGGAGCAGGAAGGGTTTTGTGGGGAGATGAGAACTGCCTTTCAAAACCGCTGTGAGAGGAGGAGCCCTGGGGAGCTGTGCGGTGCCGGGCTGGTGGCTCAGGGACAGCCCCTGGTGGCACTGGGCTGCAGGGACCGTGGAGGATTCCCTGATCCCTCCCATGGGATATGGCAACGTCCCAGGCACCTGGGGACATCTCCTGTGGCCTCACTGGGCTGACCTGTGGGGTGGAAATGCCAGCCCTGAGGTTTGGGAGTGTCTCAGCTCTGTTTTTCAGAGCCGAGCCAGCCTGAGCTCGATGTGCATCCCTGGCACTGCTCAGAGCCCCCTTTGACTTTGCCAGGGCTTGGAATGAGCTGCAATTGTTCTGCTCCTCTATTGACATCCTCAGCTCCTGCAATATTAATTGCTGGACAGACTATTTCTGTGCTGATGCTACCACAAGGCACGAATGGCCCCGTGGCATATTTATGTCAGGTACAGCGCCAAATAAACTCAGCTCATGCATTCCAGTTACTACTAATTAGGCATTTCAAACCCAAAACTTCTTTTCCCAAGACTGGAAAGAGAGAACTCAACTTTCCCATTAATTTATTCAGTAAAAGGCAACTTGTCATCTAAAAACTAACCCTAACCCTAACCCTAACCCTAACCCTAACCCTAAACCCTAACCCTAACCCTAACCCTAACCCTAACCCTAAACTAACCCTAACCCTAACCCTAGCCCTAAGCCTAACCCTAACCCTAAACTAGCCCTAACCCTAACCCTAACCCTAAACTAACCCTAACCCTAACCCTAACCCATTCCCTCCTTCCCTGATGATGCTGCTAGGAATCCACTGGGATCACAACACACGGAGCCCATTTTCAGCTGCTGAATTCGGTGCAAGGTTCAGCTGGTGGAAGGTGGGACGAGAGGAGCTTTCAGGTCCTTCCAGCCCGGACATGGCAGGGTTCCTTGCTGTGCTCCCTGGCTGTGCCAGGTGAGAGGCACTCACCTGTGGAAGGTGTGCCGGTGCCAGGGGGAGCTGCCACATCCCTGCACGCTCCCTGCACGCTGCCAGGAGCTCCAGAGCCCCACACAGGAGCATCCCACGCACAGCTTTGGTTGGTTCTCCTTTTCTGCTGTCCCCCAGTTCCATTTCCTACCAAGGGAACACTCTGAATCCCGAGACTAATTCACTGTATACACAACATAAACTTCAACCCAATCCCTAAACAGGCAAAAAAACCCAAACACCCTAAAGAGGGGAAAAGAATCAGAAAGTGACTTTTAAGTTGTCTCGGTTTAGACTGGAAAACACTGCATGCAGAAGTTAATTTTTTTTTAAATTTCCCGTGTGACTTCTGCGTTCTTTGGCTAGAAAAGGGGTCGTATGTCACTCACCCTAATTAGCAGCTATTAGTCTTGACAACATAATGTGCTGTTGTTTTCCTGCCTGCCAGCAGAGGAGTGTCATCAAGCAGAGGTCACTGCTCCTGCCTTCAGCCACCGAGGTGTCTGGGCCCTGCTCGGGTCCCCAGCTGCAGACAGCAATAAATAAGGTGCTGAGGAGCTCATCAAAGGCTCGCTCTAAAAATAGCCCTGGCAGCTCTCTGCTGATGCTGCCTCTCCCCGCAGCATCCTCCCCCTGCCAACAGGCAGCTGCAGGAAAACAGCTGGAAGATGCTTGGCCGCGGGGACAGCTCTGAGCTGAGCCTGGAGCAGGATTCTCCTCCCCAGCAGCCTTTCTGTGCCCCAGCTTTTCACCCTGGGTCGGGCACATCCCGGGAGGGCTGCTGGGTGCCATCAGCAGGGAGCTCCATGCTCCTTTGGGCAGGGAAGGGCTCTGAGCTCTCCCTGCAGCCTTCTCTCCTCCGGGCCAGCGCTCCCAGCTCTCCTCTGGGGTTCCAGCAGCTCTGGGGTCCCCCAGGAGCACTGGGGGGACAGCAGAGCAGCAGCCCCAGCCCTCCTGCCTGCCTCGGGGGGCTCAGCCCCTCGGAGCAGCCCCCAGAGGGTCCCTGGTGGCCTGGGGGAGGCCCAGGGCCAGCACAGGGGAGGGTGGCTCTCCATCCCACGCTCAGGCTGTTCCCTGTCAGTGTTTAGGGCTCAGGGGACATTGCTGCCCCGGTGCTTTTCACACCCAGGAAAGCTGACACAGCTCCTGCAGCTGGGGCAGACACAAGGCTCTCCCCTGGCTCAGGGTTTCTCCTCACAGCTCTCAGGGAGCTGCTTTATCTCTCCAACCTTTTGCCCAGCACAGGAAAGGCAAAATAAGATTTTACTCCAGCCTGGAAGCGTCTGCTTTGGGACAATAGGGCCAGAATAATATCATTATGTACTGTACAATGGAGCATGATTTTGAAAGGCTTTTGCATGAAAGAGCTGCAATAAAGCATGGCATTAGCATGTAGCTGTCCAGGTGCCAGAGAGGCGTTTTTGCACTCCAAGTAATTCACTCAGCAATGTTGTGGTTCACACAAAGGAGAGGAAAATGGCCAGAATTCAGCTCCAGGCTTTCAGTGGCACTGCCAGGCTGTGGACACTGCAGTGACAGCTCTGTCCCTCCATTCCATAGCTGCAGGTCTGAGGTAACCTTGCTAATGCTGCCTTGAGCCCCAGTGCAAGAACAGCTGTGTCCCTTCCAGTGAGGCAAGGCAAGCAGGAGCAAGCACTGCTCGTTCCCCTCGTGGTGAAGGAGCAGGGAATGAGCAGCTGGCCAGGGCTGGGGTGCCTGGCACCTGCACCTCAGCTTTGGGGCTCAGCTCAGCATTGCTCACCCACCCTGCTGGCAGCAGCCCCAAAGCTCACCTGTGCTGCTCTGGGCTGGAAGGGACCTTTTGAACCCATTTATTCCACATTTCCACTGCCTCAGGCTGCTCAGAGCCCCGTCCTCTCCACCTCAAACGTCCCCAGGGGTGTCCAGCTGTGTTTTACAAATCCCAGAAGCACAGACAGGTTTGGGCTGGGACCTTGGGGGCCCCTGGTGCCTCCTGCAAGGCTGAGCTGTAAGCAGAGCCACGACGGCTTTGAAGCAAGAGAATCTTCAAACAGGCTGTCAAACGACAGCCTTGAACAGCAAATCAGCCGTGGCCGGGGAAGCACAGAGCCTATTTCATGCTAGGATTCTTTTACATTAAATATACTTCTTTTCTGCCTTGTTTGGAGCTGGGCACTTCCCCAGCTGGGTATTCAGCTGCGAGATCTGGCATGCTTTCACACTACTGTTTTCTCTTTCCCTGGCATAATTCATTTGGTGATGTTTTCATGGATGCTCTAGAAATTCTGCTGCAATTCCAGCGCTCAGCCAGGCTGTGAGGGATGAGGGCTGGAGATGCTATCAGCTCTAGC